AGGATCTATACACTCATTAGATTCATGATGAAAAGCATCCTGGAGAAAAATGGCAGCCAATGGGGCCGCTGTGTTGGCAGGAAATTACAGCTGCTCCAAGCAAGTAGAGCCAAGAGAGCTGTTGAGATGAAAGGTGTGATCCAAGTGTGATCACTGGCTCACTTGGGCCATGTGAAGGTGGCACCAGGGACCCGTGGAGGAGGCCTGTGAGCCTGGCAGCCTCACTACATCAAAAAAAAAAAGTGCAGGTGGGCAGGAGGGGTGGGGGGAGGGGACTTAACTGGGTACACATATTGTAGCTTCTGATGATTTTTTCTTCTTCCTATGCAGGTGGCCTTCATGGGGGAAGAGGAATAATAGCATGAAGGGGGATCTCTGGCCTTGGAAAAATATTAACATCCCAATGAGCCATTAGCAAACCCTGATAGTAGTAGTGCCTAGAGGGCCAATTTTAGAGTTAGGACGACCAAAAGCCTTGCCTCTGAAACCTGCTGACTGTGTGACCCTACCACCAGCAAATCCCATAACCTCTCAGTCTTCCTAAGGGAATTTCTGTGTCAATAGCATGGTGGCACCGGGAAAAGAGTGTTGGCATCATAAAGATCTAAGTTCAAATCCAGCCGCAAACACTAGCTATGGCAACGTAGGGAAGTCACCCTTCTGTGCCTCACTTTCTTCATCTGTAAAATGGGGATAATCATAATATTGGTAGATGTTATTAACTGATGAGATAAAGGAAGGGAACGAGTATATAGCACCTACTATGTGCTGGGCACAGTGCTAAGTGTTTTTTTTAAATAATGTATGTATATTATGATATATACAATATCATATGTAAGGTATTTTGAAAACTCCAAAACACCATATAAATAAATGTTCACTACGGTGACAAGTGCATTTGCTCTAGAGTCAGAGGAACTGATTTCAAATTCATCTCTGTTGTTTACTGCTCTTGTGACTTGGAAAAAAATTATTTTGCTAGTCTGTGCCTGGAGTCCTTGATGTGTAAAACTGAAGGCATCAGCCCAGGGGGCGGTTAATCTCTTCAGCCATGAGGTTGTGGCCTGGGAGCTGATTCCAGAGAAGGCCGGAGGGGGTGGCAGCCCAAGGACTGGGGACAGGCCTCCGAGGCCCCCTAGGTAGTCCTTCACTGGGCCCCGCCTTTCCATCCATTCAGCACAGCACTGCTGAGGGGTCATCCTACCCCAGAGTTAGGGCTGAAGACTTCCAACAATGGAAGACAACGGTGGGCCTTAAGTCCATCCTCCCCACCCGAGGGCGGTGTGGGGGGGGGAGGGCTCCACCTGCCAGCAAGTGCTTTCCTATATTTAAGCTTAGTCAACTCTGCACTTGACCATTCAGCAAGCCTCCATTAAGCACTTAGTGTATGCTACAAAGTCTGCTAGATGGTCCTGTCAGGAACTTATTGATCCGAGGGGAAGAGTATATAATCGGTTAGCCAATCAACAAGCAATTATTGGCAGTTTTCACAGTAGATAGAGTGCCAGATCTGGAGTCAGGACGACCTGAGTTCAAATCCAGTCTCAGACACTAACTTTATGACTCTGGGCAAGTCACTTAAGGATTGTCTGCCTCAGTTTCTACATGTGTAAAATTGTGATAATAGTACCTCCCAGGGATGTTGTGAGGATCAAATGAGATAATATTTGTAAAATATTTTGCAAATTTGAAAATATTTAAAAGATTAGCTAGATATTTAGTAGTAATAGTAGTTTATTATTTTTATTATTAATCAGATGCTTACTGCATGCCAGACACTGTGCTAAGCCCTGGGGCCACTTACGGAGGCAAAAGTCAGGCCCTGTCTTCGAAGAGCTTTCAGTCTAACAGGGGAGACAGCAGGCAGACACATACAGACAAAGAAAAGCGTATGTAGTAGAGACAGGCCACGATTCCCAGAGGGAAGGCCCTGGAATTAATAAGGAGTGGGATAGGCTTCCTGGATGGGTCAGCGAGATGGTGCTTTGGCCAGGAGTCAGGAAGACCTGCATCCAAATCAGCGTCAAACACTTCCCAGCTATGTGACCCTGGGAAGTCACTTCACTGCTAATCGCCTCAGTTTCCTCATCTGTAAAATGGGCATAACAATAGCACCTGCCTCTCAGGATTGTTGTAAGGAGCCAACGAGATAGTAATTGTGAAGCTGAGAACACAGTGCCTTTCATGTAGTATGCGCTACGTAAATGCCAGCTAGCTGTTATTGTAGAAGTCAGGAATTTAGCTGGGACTTAAAGGAAGTCAAAGAGACCAGGAGGTGGTGATAAGGGTTATAGGATGGCCGGAGAAAATGCCCAGAGTGGGGAGCAGCCAGGAGACTGGAGGGGAAGTGTGGGGAGCAGAGGGTTCAAAGACTGGAAAGGTGGGCAGGTGGGAAGGGGCCAAGCTATGAAGGGCTTCGAATGCCCAGCAGAGCATTTGGTATTCGATTGTAGAGGCAATAGGGAACCACTGGAGTTGATTGAGGGGGTAGAAGGAAGTATATGTGACATGATTGAACCTATGCTTTAGGTAGGTCCAAATCACTTTAGTGGCTGAGTGGAGGATGGGCGGGAGTGAGGAGACACTTAAGGCAGGCAGACCCCACATGCACACACACACACACACACACACACACACACACACACACACACACAGACACACACACACACACCCCAGCTACTGTAATAATCCAGGCATGATGTCATGAGGTTCTGCTCCAGGATGGGGGCAGCATCAGAGGAGTGTATTGTAGAAACATTGCAGACAATCCTTGACAATAGATCAGATGTGAAGATGGGGGGATTGTGAAAGAGTGAAGAGCTGAAAATGACACCTTGTCTTTAAGATTGAGGGATGCGAAGATGGTGTTGTCTTCAAGAGTGGTACAGAAGATACCAGGGGAAAGGATTTAGTGGGAGAAGCTAATGAGTCCAGGTTCAGACAGGTTGAGTTCAAGCTGTCCACTAGACATCCAGCTCTGAATGTCAGAAAGGCATTTAGAGATGTGAGATTGGAGGTCACAAAAAGAGTCAGATATACAGGCAGGAAGTGCTATTGTTGTTGTTCGACCTTCATTTTCCAAGAGGACGCGTGACCATCACGGTGACGTCCTGACTTGGAGTGAATTGGACTGGAGTGAGGCAGAGCTGCACCAAGTCATCAGCCTCACTCTCTCTTAGAAAATGCGTGGAGCCAGTGAGGTGCTCCCTACCTCCTGGCCTTGGGAATCCTTCTGTCTGCTTCGAGGACTCTATCTCGCTCCCCTCAGGTGCATTTCTTAGGGCTCCAAGAATTGACCAGTCAGTCAAGAAGCATTTATGAAGTTCCTACTGTGTGCCAGAAACTGCTGAGTCATGAGACTGCAAAGAGGCAAAAGGTGCATTCTACCCTCAAGGAGCTTACAATCTAACGGGAGAAGATAAAACACAAAAGAAAGCTGAGAGACGGGGTGGAGCCAGGAGTACCTGGGCCATGGTGATGACAGAGGAGGAGAAAGCTAAGCAGAGCGGCTGAGGGCAATTGAATGCACTGAAGTATAATAATAATACATATATACAATAGAAAGTATACACACATTGTATGTATACATATACATCTATGTGTGTGTAATAATAATAGCTTGCAACCATATAGCACTTCAAGTAAAAGTAAAGTTTGGGAACTCAGAGGTGAATCGCCCCCTTTTCTATGTACACTCACACTGAGTTCTGGCTCAGCTGCTCCTAAGCCCTGAGTCCCTCCAGCATTTCCAAGTAAGGACCCTAAAGGCCACCTCCACTGAAAGAAGGACCAGATGAGGAGCTTAGCAAGCATTCCAGGCCTGGTGCGGCCCCCCGAGGCTGTGGAGAAAGAAATGATCCCTTTATCTGTAGGAGTTCTCTTTCTGCTAAAAGGAGAATAGCAAATATATTTTTGGCTTGACTTAATGTCCAAAGGTGGAGGAAGTGAAGGTGGACATGGGTATGCTGAACCAGATTCTCACCACGAGGGAGGAATTGCTTGATTTTTCGGCAATAACAGACACCGTGGGGAGAAGGGGTTTCAATGACCTCATTTGTGGTTGGTAAGGAGAATGAAGAAAGGCATTCCAGGTGGATGATGATGTGGCTAGAGACTGTCATACCAGGATTATTAAAGGAACAGGAGATGGTTGGCCCACCAAAAGAACCAAGAATAGATACAACAGTTCTTACCAGCTTACAAAAGCCAATTGTTAAATTTTGAGTGTGAGCATTTACACCTCAAAAATCAGCAAAAGCTATAAATCAAGGTTTTGTTTTGTTATTTGGTTGATTGTCTAGACTTGGGAAAATGATGGAGAAAATGTTAATAATACAAACTAAACTTAAAAGTGGGGGATATTCCTGCTCTTTTTACAGAGAGCTGGTTGTTAAACATTTACCAGCATGTGCCTGGATGCAGCAGACACTCTAACAGGAGATTTTGATAGTGAGCTAAGAAATATAGGGTAGCATGCATTTGGCCCTTAATTCAAGTTTACTACTGGTGTTCACGATCCCCATCACAAAACTTTGTTTTTTTCTACTCATCTGCCCCCGCCAAACCCCCTTTTTGCTTTCATTGTCTGATGCTGAAAAACTTTTGTAAAAGTTTGTTCTGGAATCTTCCATCCTGCAAATCTTATTTATGTTATTAATTTACCCTCTGTCTAATGACAGACTTTGACGAGTGCATAGACTTCAGCCCAAACTCTGAATGAGTCATTACAAATTCTGAATTAATGGAATGGCCTCATGCTGGGCTGTGTATCTTTGGTGATGGATGGGTGTCTCTGCCTTTACTTTTCTGACGTTTTCCACTTTTGGAATGGTCTTTTGCTCATCTTACAGCTACCTTGGCAAGGTCTGCAAGGGGCCCACAGTCTGAGGCTGAAATCTCCTCCTTTTGGATAATTAGCTGTGGTGGGTCTTTTTTGTAAGTGGGAAGAATAAAAGAGCACGAAAATATCTCCCCAATGTCTTTTTGGTCTTTCCCTAAAGGGCACGACGCCATCGTCACGCTCCTGAAACATTACAAGAGGCCTCAGGATGAATTGCCCTGTAATGAATATTCTCAGCCAGGAGGAGGTACAGTGAATTTCTGATCACAAGTATACTCTTCTTTACTGAACATCCTTCTTAAAGGGGAATAAAGACCCTTGCTATTTGAGGGCGTGGGGAGGAGAAGAATGGGGATGAAAGGGACGTGCTTGCTTCATATTCAGAAAGTTCACATCGACAGGGCACGGAATGGTTTTGTTGTGGATGCTGTTGTTTTACTTACTAAACCCCAATTCCACAAAGTTTAGGATTTTCATGAAGTTCCTATAGGAGGGTGGAGGCCCAGATGAATGGTGAACCATTTCCATATTCAATTAAAGCTTAGCAGAGCATCCCCCAAATCTAATGCAGAGTCAGCCTGCCATCAGGGTTCTTAACCTAAAGCCTCGGGATCCTGGAGTGTTGCATAGATTCCAGGAGGTCTGTGAACTTGGATGGGAAAAGTTGAATCCTTTTTATTTCAATATAATTGATCTTAGGTACCTCATTTTATTCATTCTGAAAAGGGGTCGGTGCCTAAACTTCCCAGGGGGCCCATGACAAAAGAACAAGGCAAACAAAAAGAGAAGGCCTATGGGCTGAAGAAACTCCATTTTCTCACTTTTCCCTCTTACTCTCTAATTGCCTGATGTTCAGACTCACTGTCTAAGGGGAGAAAATGGACCTAAAGTAAGAATCCTATTTTGCTTTTCTAACTAAATTCTTTTGTTCAGTATTCAGGAAAAAATGTGTGTGTGCATGGATGTGCACGTGTATGTGTGTGTGTGCATGGACATGCATGTTTGTGTGTGCATGGGCATGCATGTGTGTATGTTTGTGCACGAGCACCTGTGTGCGCATGTGCCCATGTTTCTGTCCTTCCCAAGGAGGAAGTTGGACTCTCTTCTCAGCTTCTCAACCGCATCACTCTTTGATTTCAGATGGCTCCTATGTTTCCGTTCCATCACCTTTGGGGAAGATTAAAAGCATGACAAAAGGTACTTTAAATTCTTTAATGGGCAAACCCAGATTCCTTTTTTTTTTTCACATGACCACATAATCATTTTCTACTGACATTTAACCGTTTAAAACATTGTAAGTAAATGAGCAGTGTAAAAGATGTTTTCAAGACCACAGGGAAATAATCAGTGTAACTGCATAGACATGTGGGCCTGCAGCCTCACAACTCACACACAGGTGATCATCATGGGGATTTTGCTTGCCTCTCTCAAGAGATTATACACCCCTTTAGTTATCTACTTACTTCTTCTGGATCTCCTATTCTCAAGAAAACTAGAAAAATTCTACCTATTCTTGGATAGGGGAGGGGTTGCGGGCTGGGTAGGCTATAACATAGAGGTTTTTTAAATATTAAAAACAATTATTGAGCTGGGGTGCGGTCTGAAGGAATGAATGCCAGTGAATTGGGCAAGGTATTTTTAAAAGATCAGAGAAGAACAAACCAGACTGCAAAGTTCTATTTCCAGATTTGAGGTTTTCAAACACTCGCATTGCCCAACTTTGGATTCCTGTGAGTGCCCACATGTCACTGAATGACCATGCCTCTGAGTCCTGTGAATATTCAGACTTATTCAGACTATCTTGTTACGAGAGGCCTCTTGGTTGACTAGACAAGAGACTACTTTGGGTCACCTTACAGCAGCCCCTCAGGGCTGGCAGGCAATACAGGCAAGCTGGTGTGGGATCTCATCAGGGAGAAACAAAAGAAAGAAAGAAAGAAAGAAAAAATACTTAAGCCCAGACAGGAAATGTCAAAGATAGAGGACAGGGCACTATTTCTCCAGAAGAAGGATTTTTTATGCACTGCTCAAGTGGCCTGGTAAAAATGGCCTCATGGGACAGTCTTCATCTGCCATAAAGTTTTGGTACTCCAAGTCCCTAGGCAGTAATAGCGCTGCAGATTTGCTCGAAGTGTTGGGGTTTGTTGTGGGTTCCTATGCAAAGAGGGATTACAAGTCAAACAATTTATGGTCCTGAAATTGATTGTGGCTGGAGAACAGTCTTGGTGAAGAGTGTGTGTGTGTGTGTGTGTGTGTGTGTGTGTGTGTGTGTGTGTGTGTGTGTGTGTGTGTATTCTTTAAAAATGCCCTTTACATAGAGGAAAATGTTTTCCATTTGCAGAAAAGGCAGATGTCCTCCTCCTGCGAGCAGGGCTGCCTTCCCATTTCCATCTTCAGCTCTCAGAGATTGAGTTCCATGAAATTATCGGCTCAGGTAATGTGGGGGAGCGGAGAAAGGGACTGTCTGAGAAGTTCAATAACCTCAGGAAATGTGCCTTTGCTTATTGGCTCAAATCGTTTTAGGGTCTTTCGGAAAAGTCTACAAAGGGAGATGCAGGAACAAAATCGTGGCGATCAAACGGTAAGGCAGAAGATGGAACCTGGCGGCATCGAGTCTCAAGTTCATTTTAATACACAACTTCCAGCAGAAGCCGTTTATCCTCTCGTTGTTGACACTTCTCTAATGCTGCTGTTCTTCAGCTATCGGGCCCACACTTACTGCTCCAAGTCCGACGTGGACATGTTCTGCAGAGAGGTGTCCATTCTTTGCCGACTCAAGCACCCCTGCGTGATCCAGTTTGTTGGAGCCTGCCTGAACGACCCCAGCCAGTTCGCCATCGTCACTCAGTACATCTCAGGGGGGTCCCTGTTCTCTCTCCTCCATGAGCAGAAGAGGTACGGGACCTTAGCTCTAATGCATAACACGGCAGTTTGGGTGAGGGCACAGCGGCCGGCCTTGCTTGTCCAGAGGAGCTGGATCCCGGCCCTGGCCAGACAGTCATGGACAAGTCTCCAGTGCCCCGGGGCGCTGGGAAACTCTCCTAGACTGTAGGCACAGACTTCACCCACATAAATGCGGGGAGCAAGCTCCCTAAACTAACGAAGCCACGGATCCAAACTGAAAAAGAAAACTTCATTAGGGCTCCATCTCTACAAAGCCAAGCAGAATGTATTTGGGGGATTCTGTCTTTTCTTTGACTGCCTGGTTGTGCCAAACACACCAATATCTCATCAGTGTGCCCCTTGCTGATGTTTTTTAATGGATAAAAATAACTGTACCTTCTGTATGCTTCCCAGCTGCAGGTAACAAATGCCTGGGATTTGGAAGCTGTTAATTAAAGCCTGTAATAATTAGCTGCATTTGACAGACCAATAAAGTAGATCTATATGACCAGTGAATAGAATAACTATTAGAGATCACAATGTCTGTGGGGGAAAAAAAATAATGTCCCTGCTTAAATCTAATTTTGAATAGTCTGTTGAAATTTATGCGTGTCATGACTGAAAAAGAATCTCCTCTCCAGAAATCTTCCCCCCACCTCCACCCCAGTCCAGGCTTCCAGTTCATTTTTTCCTGTTGATACTGTCTCCTATAAAAGCAGGCGGATTTGCTGCCGTGTGACCCCAGGCTGGTGACTTTACTTCCCAAAGAGGGAGCTGGAGAGATTGGACCAGATGCTACATAGAGTTCCTTTCTGGATTTGTGTTACCTTCCAGCTATCATTGTATGAGCTAGAACATTCTAGACCAGAACATTTTTCAAGAGAGGCTCAGATGAGAGTCAATCCAAAATGATATATGATCTGATTTAAAAGGTGAACCCACCCCTCTTTAGATGGACGGGAAAATGCCCCATTTCTGACCTGGTAACTGGGGGTTACCTTCTGCCTCCACCAGGTACTGATTGTATGACCTTTCTCCAGCCCCTTGGACCTCAGTTTCCTTGCATTTGAAACAAAAAGGGTCAGTCTGGGAGACACCTAAGATCCCTTTCAGTTGAGAATCTGTAAGTCAAATCCATATATGTATGCATATATGTGTGTGTGTGTATATATATATATATACACATATATATATATAATATTACATATTCTAATATATATGATATTTTATGTGCATAGATTGACATAAGGGAGACACCATAGGCCAGGTGATAAATGCTCACCTAAAGGGCAAGAAGATCTGGGTTCAAGGCCCGACCCTGAACAGGACCCTTCACTGTCCAGGTCTCTTGCCAGCCTTCTAAGATGACAAGCTGTAGGCTCATGGCTGCGGCCTCCAAGGGCAGAGGGTGAACCTACGCTGATGAAGTCACAGATCTGGCTTATCTTATACCACACAATAAAGGAAAGAATAGAATGGAATGTGATATGACAAAATAGGATAGAATGTCAAGTGTCTATACATATAAGTGCATGCACGTGCATTGATTTGTAGATATACACGTCCATGTGTATATTCATGTGTACAACGTTTTATAGTTTACATGATATATATTCAGCCAGAGAGGAGGGAGAGAAAGAAATACAGAATCAGAAATGTCCGATTTAATTGAGGAAATATGAAGTACTCTGTGTCTCCCAGGCATTGTTCTAGCCTCCACACACATAAAGACCAAAAATCTAAATTCCCAGCCTCCCCAGGAGCTTCCATACCACTGTGGGAAACTCACAGGACAAAAGCAAGCTAATATCCATCGTCCACTTTTTGGAATATGTGCGTTTGGCTTCTGCCGGTTTGGTCTCCTTACTATCCCCATTCCTTTCTAGGACTTTGGACTTACAGTCGAAATTGATCATTGCTGTGGACGTGGCCAAAGGCATGGAGTACCTGCACAATCTGACCCAGCCCATCATCCACCGTGACTTAAACAGGTCTGTCTTTCTTGGGGACTGCAAGGTCCAGAAAACTGTGTCAAGCCAGGAGCGTGCTGACCAATTGAGGAGGAATAACTTAAGAGGAAAAAACTTGTCAGTGCATGCCTGCCCCATTCTGACCATTCTCATCATGGTGCTTTTAAATCAGTCCATAGTCATAGGGACGGGGGCACAGGACTCTATGTAGGAAGCCAGGAAGGCACGATTGTTTTCATTCAATTCAGTATGCGCCAGGCAGGAGACCTTCTGCAGGGGGGACCAGGCCTAAAATGATCCCAGTCCAAGTATGGGCTGTAGGGATTAACGGGAGCATTTTCACCTCAGTCATAGACAGGGTTAGTGTATTGTTTTGCTGATTGCTTAGACTAGAAAGTGATGGAGAAAGGATAATAATGCAGATTAAACTGGAAAATGTGTCTTGCATACTTCTGTTTTCTTTTCTGAAAGCCTGTTATTAACCCTTTACCAGCCTAGGCTGGCCAGGGGCCAGATGGGCAGGAACCTGAGGAAAAAGAAAGATGAGACAGCCCTACAGGGTCTCCACCCTCAAGGAGCCCATAATCCAGCAGACAACACCTTCTCTGGACACCAGAGAGGTGCAGAGCCAGCGCTCATGGAGGCAGAACAGATGAAGGGCTGGCGCTGCCTGAGGTAATTAGGGAAGACTTCCTGAAGGAAGTGCTCACCCACTGCTCCTTCTCTCAGAAGTAGGGTTTCACCGGGAGATGACAGACACAGTGTGGAAAGCATTACTAGGTTTTCCATGATCTAGGCTGGGACTGTTTACTCATTCATCGTTCATTCATTCATCTCTCCATAAACAAATGTTTACGTATCTACTGGGGGTGCTTAAGGAAACAGAGCCAGCTCACCATAGCCCAAGATAGGTGCATTCCCCTAAGGCACAAACTATGCAAAAATATCCCCCCAAAAAACCCCACAGCACTTATGGGGAAAATGGGGTCAGGGGCACGATGCTCAAAAACTTCATTGGTGGTACATAAAACCAAGACTGATAGGAACCTAATACTTAGCACAATCTTATGCGCATTAGATGTTTAAGAAACATAAAATCATCATAGACAACGGCCCAGTCCAAGCCTCAGCCTGGGCCCTGGGCTGCAGGAGCGAACTGGGCCTCAGGCCTGGGGTCCGAAGGGGCTGGGGGAGCGGGGTGGACCTGCTTGGCTCTTGGCTTCTGTCGTACCAGAAGAGGCACCATCAACATGGCGCCTGACGATGCCCAAGACCTGATGTTTGCCTGGATGTGAGCCTCAGCAGGGCTGAGAGTGGGGCTTGTCCTCCACATTCTCCTTTCCTTATGTTTGATCCTACATCGGGCATGGCGCCACAAAACCCACGCTCTAGCAGAGCAGGCAGCAGTGTGCTGGAGATGTTGAGGTCCCTGCCCTCAGGGAGCCTCCAGTCATCCTCTGAGGACAGGGACAGCTGAGATGGAAGCCCCAGCCTTCCGAGTCAAACTCAGTACCATCGCTGAACCCTCCTCCCTTCTGCCAGAGGGAGAGGTGGAGACAAAGTCAAGGAGATAGGAAACCATGGAATACTTGTGGGGGGATGGGCAGCCTGGGGTGGCTTGAGGCTAGAGCCCGAAGGGGGAAGCTACAGGAAGTAAGTTAGGAAATGGGCAATAGGGGAAGGCAGTGGTGGGCCTTGAATGCCAGGATAGAAGGCATGCCGTGTGGCCCCCACCCTTCAAACAGGCTGAATCAAGCATGAAAGCAGAGGTTGGGAAAGGCCGTAGAGACCAGACTCTCCTACATCCCTAAAGGTCCCTGGACGTTGGGGCCCACGTAAGAACACTTGGGTATTGGAAGAGAGTCCACCTGGGGTGCTGCAGTGCACAGAGTGCTAAATCCTGCCTCAGACACTAGCACGAGCCACTTCACCTGAGCTTGCCTCTGTTTCCCCAGCTGTAAAATGGGCATCATAATAGCATCTGCCTGGCAGCGCTGCTGTGAGCATCAAATGAGAAATCTGGAAAGTGTTCCTCACAGTGGCTGCACAGAGTAGGTGCTGTGTAAACTCTGGCTGCTGTTGTCATTACTATCATCATCCATTTGTCTTACTGATGCAGAGAGCTCCTAGGGAAGGAAAAGCCCTCTGACAGCGCTGGCATGGACCTTCTCTGTAACTCAGCCTTAGACCATTGCCTCGGCCACAGAGAACTCGAGGGACTTTCCCAGGGCCTCCCTGCTTCCATCCATGACCCGACGATGTTGTCGCTGTTCCTGGACATGTCTCTGATTTAATAATAAATGGACTTAACTTTCTCCTATCTATTTAGAACAAGACAGGGAGGAAACATGGCAGAGAAGGCAGGGTGGGGGAAGGTTTAGAATGAGCTGGATTCAAATTCTTTCTCTGACACTTGCTGGCTGTGTGACCATAGGCAATTACTCAACCTCTCTGGGCCCTTCACGGTTGCTTTTCCTGGGGCCTCGATTGCTCAGCCTCTTTTTCTGAGTCAAACCTTTATTTTAATAAAATCCCTGCTTTCCCTGCCTGCAAGCATCCTGGTGCCTCACTCCTGGCTCTCAGGAAGCAGATGTAGCCCAGAAGCCAAATCAGCCCTTGGTGAAGGGTGGTCTCCGGCTTCGGGTGTGCTCCCTGGGGTCTTGCTCAGCTGCGCATGGTGCATACAGACACAGGAGAGATAAGGGTGCATTTTCTGCAGCCATGGCTTTTCACCCAATTTGGAGAATGGGCATCCTCTTGCACTGGGCGTGTTTTAAAGGGACGCTGGTGCCCACTCAGAGGCTCACACAGCATGCCTTTGAATTGTGCCCAAAGCTTTCACCGTGTGCCCGGGACAGGCCTCTTCTGTCCTCTGGGAAAGGCCGAGATCCTCTCCCCTACCCCAAGAGGAGAGCACCACTCCTCTGGAGGTACTCGGTGTTCATAGCTGTCATAAGGGGGAAGATGGGGAAAAAAAGCGGGAAACATCTGCCACGTAACATGAGGATAGCCAGATGTAGAATGGCTGAAGAGAGAGGTCCAATCCTGGCTCTTTATGTTATCCTTCTACCTGGGCCAAGTCACTTGACAACTCTGGGCCTTGTTTTCCTCATCTGTAAAATGGGGTTGAGCTAAATGATTGCTAAGTTCCATTTCCTCTCTGAAGACTAGAGGCACTGTGTTGCAGTGCAAACTTAGAGGGGCGAATTTGGAAAGATGGGCCTGGGTTCAAGTCTGGCACCTTAACTTACACCTGTATGACTTTGGGGAAGTTACTTGGAATACTCCAGGACTCAGTTTCCACATCCTGAAAACCAGCAGGCTGGATGACTTGTCCTCTAAGGTCCCTTCTGGTACTGAATCTGTGCTCCCTTGGTGATGGGGGCCTAGGTAATGGCGGCCAGGTCATGATATCTCTCAAAATCAACGAGTCTCTCTATAAAGACAATACTGGTCTCAGGTAAGAGAACACATGAGCTCACCTTGCAGAACCGGCATCCTAATGGCAGATGTCAAGGTCCTGCTGGAGGTGGAGAGGGACAGCTGTGACAGGTGGGGTGGCAGCAGCATGGCCACACGCTATGGGGTCTGTGGCCAGGCTGGAGGCTGCAGGATGCTTCTGGGGAGAAGATGAATGCTTCCCCCCAGAGCCTGCTTTCCAAAGGGGCAGAGCACAAAGCTCCAGTGGGGGGGGGGTGTCAGACTTCAGCAAAGAGTCGGGGATGATGGCCAGATGTGAAATCCAGGGGCCTGCATTTAAATTTCTATAGTGAGGCTGCTTTGGACAAGTCACTTAATTCTCTGAACTTCAGGTCCTTAATGATAAAATAAGGGGAATCAGTCCACATGACCTCTTACAGCTCTAATTCTGTGGTCATGCGGCTGGGCAAATAGAGGCAAAACAGTGCACTCTGTACTTTGTTTTCTCATTTAATCTTCGCAAGAATCCTATGAGGTATCTGCTATTATGATCCCCATTTTACAGTTGCAGAAACTAAGGCAGGCATATGGTGAGTGACTTTCCCAAGGTCACCCAGCTGTCAAGTATCTGAGGCTGGATTGGAACACAACATCAGGCCAGCATTCTATGGCATTACGTGGCAGCCTCCATGGAGGAATCAGGAAAGGCCCAATGTGGGCATTGACATTTGAGCTGAGCTTCGAAGAAATCAGGGAATCGAAGAGCCAGGCATGAGTCTGGTGGGCATTCCATGCAATCAAGGGACAACTCTCCTGTGTGAGGGCCAGTAACAGGAGTGCCATTCTGTCTGGCAGAGAAGTGAAGGGGAGTCTGGAAAGTGAGGATGGCACCGCCCCGTAAAGTCTTTACATGCCCCTCAGAGAAGTTACAGGGTCTATCAGTCCTTGACTCAGAGTTTGTGGATTCTTGGTTTTATATGCCAATAGTCTTTCTATAAATACAGATTCCTTCTGATTGTTTTTTTTTCTATTTCTATTTGCATGTTCAGCTCTCCTGATAACAAGTGAAAGATAAAAAAATTAGAGACAATTTAGAAAAGCCGACCTCCTGATGACCAATGACAGATAATTAAAAGACAAAGCTGTTAAGAGCGAAAATGATTCTGTTTTAGAAGATGCAATGTTCACTGGATCCGGTCATGATTTGAGAAAGTGACAAAGAACACAGGGAATGATTGAAAAAGGCTCCATTTGGGAAATCTAGGGATGCTTGGAGCTGCCTCAGGGACCTGCTCTCCTATAAGAGGGCCACAGTCCATGTCTCCCCAGTCACAGGCCTGGAGACCCAGGTCTGGTGTGGGTCCAGCGGCCCCACTGGCAGCGCAGTTCTGGCTGCACATACACGCTCCTTGAATTGCCGTTATAAAAACCTGTTTAATTCTTCTCTTCCCTGATAAGTTTTCACACTTGGAGAATTTTTGCCTCACGAGTCCCTGACGTTGATGAGCTTACTGAACTTGAAGAAGTCAGCCCACCAAAACACCTGTGGGTGTGCTTGGCTGGGGGCCTTGACTAATTATCACTAATTATCTCCACTAATG